ATATATATATATATATATATGTATATATATTTATAATTAATGCTATTTTATATTATATTAGTTATTTTATTTCTCATACTATAAATATTATTTACATTATTAATTTTGTTATTCCTTTTTCTATTTATTTATACAGACAAGAAGGAGCTGCGCGTCTGGTGTCTGTGTGTGTGTCTACCTCTAGAACGTGTGTTTTTATGCTGAACAGTTTCATAATAACATTAAAAAAGAAAAAAAACAAAAAAAATAAAAAAATAATTTATTTTTTTATGTATTACACACCCTCCTTGTCCTCGCGGGGGGGGCCTCTCCCGCACTCGCATGCAGAAAGCCAGGCGCCCCCGTTTGTGTTTTGTGTTTTTGTTTGCTTTTTGTGTTTTATAATAAATAAAATATTAAATTTCCATAAAAAATATACAAAAAAAGTGTTTTTACGCGTAAAAATCTGCAGCTTACCAGCTGCAGCTGGGGTGTATGTACACCTCAGCACGCCACCGCCACCCATGCATCAGTCTCGCTCGTCATTTCTTTTATTTTGAAATTTTCGTGTTTCAGTTTCCAGCATATAATGTAATATAAAATATATAATTATAGGGGATCTTCATAGAAACCCCATTTATTCTCTTCTTTCTTATAAAGGCCCCCCTTCTCGTTCTTCTTTCTGCTGCTGCTGCTGCTGCTGTAGAAGCAGAAGCAGAAACTGCTGCAGCAGAAGCAGACTGTCTGGCTGCATCACCAGTGCAGGAAGCTCTCAATGCAGCAGTTGCAGCAACAGAGACTTCAGCAGCAGCAGCTGTTGCTGCTGCAGCAGCAACAACAGCTGCAGCAGCGACAACTACAGCAGCCGCAGCAGCAGCTACAGCAGCAGCAACTCCAGCAGCAGCAGCAGATGCAGCACCTCGTGAAGCACCGCGGGCTGCTGCACCCGGGCTCTGCATGCACAGCAGCAAACTCGAAGCAGCAAAGACAGAGCTGCAGCAGCAGCAGCAGCCATCAGCTGCAGCAGAAGAGAAGGGGGGGGATACGAAGGGGGCCCCCGATGCGGCAGCAGCAGCACAGACAGAGGAAAAACAGCAGCAACTGCCGCTGCAGCTGAGTCTGCAGCAAGAGCAGCAGCAGCAGCAGCAGCAGCAGCAAGAGGAGCGGAAGCAGCCAGAGAGACAGGAGACGCCGCAGCAAGACGAACAGCAGCAGAAAGAGGAGAAGCAGCAGCAGCAGCAGCAGCAGGAGCTGCAGCAGAAACCGCCGCAGGAGCAGGATGCGCCACAACAAGACGTCCAGCAGCAGCAGCAGCAGCAGCAGCAAGAACAGGAGCAGCAGCACCAGAAGCCCCCAGAGGAACGGGAGGCGCCGCAGCAAGGCGAGCAGCAGCAGCAGCAGCAGCAGCCACAGGTTCAGTCGGAGGGGCAGAAAGTGCTGCAACAGGACGAGCTGCAGCAGAAGCAGCAGCAGGAGCAGCAGCAGAAGCAGCAGCAGCAGGATGAGCACCAGAAGCCACCACAGGACCCGGGGACCCCGCAACAAGACGAGCAGCAGCAGCAGCAGCAGCAGCAGCAGCAGCAGAAGCAGCCACAGGAACAGGAGAGGCCACAACAAGATGAGCTGCAGCAGCAGCAGCAACAGACGCAGCAGCAGCAGAAGGAGCAGCAGCAGCAGCTACCGGTAAAGGAACTGGAGGCACCGCAACAAGACGAGCAGCAGCAGCAGCAGCAGCAGCAGCAGCAGAAGCTACCACAGGAACGGCAGGTGCTGCAGCAAGAAGTGCAGCAGCAGGAGAAGGACCAGCAGAAGCAGCAGCACGAGGAGCAGCAGCAGATGTTGCCAGAGGAAGAGAGCACGCCGCAGCAAAGCGAACAGCAGCAGCAGCAGCAGCAGCAGCAGCAGCAGCAGAAGCAGCCACAAGAACAGGAGAGGCCACAACAAGATGAGCTGCAGCAGCAGCAACAACAGAAGCAGCAGCAGCAGCAGCAGCAGCAGATACCGCTAGAGGAAGTGGATGCGCCGCAACAAGACCAACAGCAGAAGCAGCAGCAAGCGCAGGAGCAGCAGCAGGAACAGAAGCAGCGGCAGGAACAGAAGCAGCAGCAGGAACAGAAGCAGCAGCAGCAGCAGCAGCAGCAGCAGCAGAAATCGCCACAGGAGCAGGGGACACCGCGGCAAGACGAGCATCGGGTGCAGCAGCAACAGCAGCAGCAGCAGCAGCAGCAGCAGCAGCAGAAGCAACAGCAGCAGAAGCAGCAAAAGCCCCAGCTGGAACAGGAGGCGCTGCAACAAGACGAGCAGCAAAAACAGCAACAGCAGCAGAAGCAGCAGCAGCAGCAGAAGCAGCAACAAGAGCGGGTGGTGCCTCAGCAAGACGAGCAGCAAGAGAAGCAGCAGCAGCAGAAGCAGCAGCAGCAGCAGCAAAAACAGCAGCAGCAGAAACCGCCGCAGCAGCAAAAACAGCAGCAGCAGCAGAAGCAGCCACAGCCGAAGCAGCCGCAACAGAAGCAGCAGCAGCAGCAGCAGCAGCAGCAGCAGCAAAAGGAACAACGGCTGCCGAAGATAGCTGCTGAGGCTGCTGCTGCAAACACAAAAACGAAGGACGCCGCAGACAGCCTCGATGAAGCTGCTGCTGCTGGTGATAGGGAGCAGCAGCTGCTGCTGCAGCAACAGCAGCAGCAGCAGCAGCGACAGCAGCAACGGAAGCAGCGAGACTCTGGGGAAGCCCGAGGCGTTAGCAGCAGCAGCAGCAGCAGCACCTGCAGCAGCAGCACCTGCAGCAGCAGCAGCAGCAGCAGCAGCAGTTCGCCGCCCACATACCCGGGCCGGAAAGGCTCAGGAGGAGCAGCAGCCCCACCGCCAGAAGCAGCAGCAGCGGACCCAGCAGCAGCAGCAGCAGCAACAGCAGCAACAGCAGCAGCAGCAGCAAGCAAGGTGTATACGCTGCAGGAGATGATGCAGTATGCAACCCGCAGTCGGCGGCACCTCCACTCGGCTGCATCTGCAGCAGACAGCAGCAGCAGCAGCAGCAGCAGCAGCAGCAGCAGCAAAGAGGCTTCACAGCAGCTAGCTGCTGCTGCTGCGGGAGAGGGCCTCGATCAAGCAGCAGCAGCAGCAGCAGCAGCAGCAGCAGGAACAGCAAAAGGAGCAGTGAGTGCGGATGAAAGTAACCCGCGCTCGTCTGCTGTTGCTGCTGATGCTACAGTTGCTGCTGCTGCTGCTGCCGCTGCTGCTGCTGCTGCTGCTGCTGCTGGGGGTGTGAAGGGCCCCCCGTCTGTTGTTGATGCTGCATATGCAGAGAGGGAGGCACACTACCGCTCTTGCTTCTGCGAGTAAGTCTTTCGTGCTGCTGCTGCTGCTGCTGCTGCTGCTGCTGCTTGTCTTGCTGCTGCTGCTGCTGCTGGTCTTGCTGCTGCCGCTTCTGCTGCTGCTGCTTCTGCTTGTGCTGCTGCAGCCGCTCCCGCGGGTGTTCGTGCTCCTGTTGTAGCTACACCTGCTGCACCTGCTGTTGCTGCTGCTGCTGCTGCTGTTGTTGCTGCTGTTGCTGCTGCTGCTGTTGCTGCTGCTGTCAGTTTATCTTTGTGGATGGGTTTGTCTTTTCTTTGCGTTGTGCTTCAGGCCGGGATTCCGTTTGCTGCCGCGGCCTGGGGTAGGAGGAGATGCTGCAGCAGCAACAGCAGCAGCAGCAGGAGCAGCAGCAGCAGCAGGACCAGCAGCAGCAGCAGCTGCTGCAGCAGGTCACGGCTTAGCACCCTCTGGCGGCATTTGGAAGCCTCGGCAGCCGCTAACACACCCAGCAGCTCGCCAGGGTATATCTTTGCTGCTGTTGCTGCTGCTGTTGCTGCTGTTGCTGCTGCTGTTGCTGCTGTTGCTGCTCCTGCTGCTGTTGCTGCTGCTGCTGTTGCTGCTGCTGCTGCTGCTAGATTGTGAATATGATGCTGCTGCTAGTGCTTTTGCTTATTTTATTTATTTAATTTTTTGTTTTTTTTGTTAAACAGCAATTTCCTTGTTTCTGTTGTGTCTGCAGCAGCAGCAGCAGGAGGAGCAGCAGCAGGAGCAGCAGCAGCAGGAGCAGCAGCAGCAGCAGCAGCAGCAGATGATGTTTCTTATAACCACGATAGAGAAGACAGCAAACCCCTCCTGGGGGCCCCCAGGGGGGGGCCCCCCTCTGCCCCCCCACGGAGGAAGCAGCCGAGGGCCCCCAGACCCCCTCTTGCTGCTATGCTGCAGTAAGTTTATGTATAATATTATAAATAAATAAAAACCCTAAACCCTAAACCCTAAACCCTTTTAGGATGACAGAGAGGAGCAGATGCTGATAGAGAAAGAAACAGAAAAAGAAAAGGGTTTAGCTGCTCGCTTTTTTGCAGGGTTTAGGGTTTAGGGTTTAGGGTTTAGGGTTTAGAGTCTAGGGTTTAGGGTTTAGGGTTTAGGGTTTAGGGTTTATGTTTTTGTTTGCAGCGGCTATCACAGCTCGGCGTCCTCTGATGTTCGTTCTGGGGTGTATGGACACCCCAACCAAAAGGTAACAACATAAAGGGTTTAGGGTTTAGGGTTTAGGGTTTAGCTATATGCATATATATATATATA